CACTTATAGCATTGATAAGAATATTACAGCAAATATTCATTCATTAGTTAGCCAGGCCACATTTTTTGTTCAACTTGGGGCATGCTGGTCTTGATTGTAGGTCTGTGGTATTTTGGAGATTGGAGAGTTTTAGTTGACTTAGTGATTATACTGAAGAGAGAGGTTTTAGTTATTTAAGTTAATTAGGTACTGTTTATGATGTGGTCATTTATTCTGTAACTGAAATGATTTCGAGGTTGGAAGTTTTAATTGTCCTGTCTAGTGACTAGATTGGAGAAGGAAGTTTCAGATATTTAAATTATTTAAGCCTAGCCATGGTTCATGAACATTTTGGAGCACTTAAATTCTATGATTCGTTTCCAAGTAATAACTGAGACAAAAATGTGTGAGACCACTATATATATATCTGTAGAGCATAAACTGAATGACTAACCATTTGCATTTCAGATCCTACACGACTAAACACCATATGGTTGATTTGCTTAAAAATGAGCCATGTGGACGAGTAACATAATTGGCGTAAGAATGAACTGAGAAGGTAAGTTACATATTTCTAAACAGTGCTTTTTACCTTAACACAGTAAGATCACAAACTGCGATGTATCTTTTAACTGTATTGTGCAGTATGCTGTACCATCAGAAGGTTAAAAATCGTTAATTTCTCACGTCGTGCCGAAATATTACATAAATAAATAGATAGATCACCCTACTTATTAACATATATAGAGAGAGTGATGTATTGTTTACTTACATTAGCTTTTAGAGATATTCTTCGATAATATAATGCCAGTATATTTCTGATTTTACTCAAAAAGTGTCCATCTCCTGATAAAGGGTTTTCCTGAAGGACTGCCTTTGTATGCCTGAATAGAACAGTATGTTATTATCTACAACTACAGTAGATCAAAGTGTCGTACCAGTAAATCGTTTTATTTTATTTTTTGCTTTTATTGTTTTATAAGATTTTTCACATCCAGGAAATACTCCTTATATATAATTGAATCCGTTCAGTGCTGTCGTCAGTATATATAATGTGTAAGAAGAAAACTTTGTAAGAAGAGAAGACTAAATAAAGTTCACGATAACTTCTTTAATGCTGAATGATACGTAATGGGAAACCCCCTACTGTAAAGATTAAACAAGGTTGTAACGTTTTTATCTTGTTTTTTTAAACTACCATATACATTTTTCAATGTACTCCAACTGCTCAGAAAAAACAACAGCTCCCGATAGAAGGAGGATTAATCAATATTAAAAGTAAATCTTTACAAATTACGGTGCTGCCTGAATTTTTGGACTAATTATTTAGGGAAAATTCAAGTCCTTACAGTATCTTCTTTTAAATATGATTAAG